TATAAAGATAGAGTTTTTACCTCCGGGGCTGGAGTCTTGGCTCAGCGGCTAAGAGCACTGACTGTTCGGACCAGGGTTCAATTTCCTGCACCTACATGGCAGCTCACAACTGTCCCTAACTACAATTCTAGAGGACCTGACTGATACCCTTGCATAGGTGAAACACCAATCTTCATAAAAAAATGAATAAATAATTTTTTTTCAAAAAATTTTACCTCCAAACACTGTCCGGTTGTGAAGTATGGGAGGTTAGCTCTTCAACACACAGGAAAGGGATACAATTTAACCATTAGGACCCGCTGTTCCCAAGGTAGTTTGCCCAGAGTTTTTTAATTTTATTTATTTTCAGTGCTAGGGATGGTATCTACATTCTTGAGCAAGGTAGGCATACCCAAGCCCACAGATCTATATCCCCTCTGCCTAATGTGCCCCCGCCACACACATACGTGTGTGTGTGTGTGTGTGTGTGTGTGTGTGTGTGTGGTGATGGAACCCAGGGCTTTGAGTGTGCTAGGCAAGTACTCTATCACCAAGATAAACCTCCAGCTTGTCTTTGAGGAAGAGATAAAGAGATAATAAAATTAACGGAGGGAGTCACACAGTAGTGGTACACTCTTTTAATCCCAGTACTTGGGACCAGGGAGAAGAGGCAGGCAGATCTCCATGAATTTGAGGCCAGCCTGTTCTACGAGAGCTAGTTCCAGGACAGTCAGAGCTGTTACACAGAGAAACCCTGTCTCAAAAAACGAACAAACAGACCAACCACCATTACCCCTGAGCCATCTTGCCAGCCCTTGTTTTTGAGAAACTGAGGCACAGGGAAAACTTTCCAGACTCATGTTGTGACTTAGCGACAGCGGAAGTGCAGACTTCAGGTAGTAACGACACCTGTGAAAAGCCTGGGGCTTTCAGATGTTGGTGGTTCCCAAAGATCCAGTCATTGAACTCTTTTAACTACAAATAACTTCTTTTCCAGTGTGTGTGTGTGAGAGAGAGAGAGAGAGAGAGACAGAGAGACATAGAGAGACAGAGAATCTAGAGGCATCAGAGCTCCCAGGAGCTGTAGTTATAGGTAACTGGGAACTGCCTGTCTGCTGAGCCACGTAAAGAAATCTTAGGGGCTGAAAAGGTGGTTCAGTAAGTGTGATGCTGGTCTTGGTTGTCAACTTGATTACAACTAAATTAACTAAATTCTCCAAATGGGCCTCTTCTGTGAGGGATTTTTGCTTAATTTGAATTGGGAGGATCCACTTTTTTTCCTCCTTGAGCTCACTCCACAGACCAGACCAGGCTAACCTTGAACTCACAGAGGTCAGCCTTCTTCCGGAACACTGGGATTAAAGGTGTGTGCCACCTCCGCCCTGGCAGGAAGACCCTCTTCTAATCTGAATCTTTTTTTGTTTGTTTGAGAAAGGGTGTCTCTGTGTAGCTCTGGCTGCCTGGAACTAGCTCTGTAGGCAAGCTAGGCTGGCCTCAAACTCACAGAGATCCAACTGCCTCTGCCTCCCAAGTACACTGTCCAGCTTTAACCTGAATCTTTGAGAAAGGAAGAAGCCCCTCTAATCTGGGCCACGCCTTCTGCTGGAAGCCTTTATAAGAATCTAAGAAGGAAGTTCTTGTTCTCTGCTTGCTTCTGTTTCCCTAGCAAGTCCATTCCTTCACTGGCAGAAGATACTACTTCTTTGGGGTTCTGATGTATCCCAAAGACCAGCAGAGACATTCCGCGTTGCAGACTGAACAACATCGGGTTAGCTGAAGCACAGCCGGTAAGTCATTTTAACAAATCTCTCCCTTCTCTCCCTCCCTCCCTCTCTCTCTCTCTCTCTCTCTCTCTCTCTCTCTCTCTCTCTCTCATGTGTGTGTATTTATTTCCAGAAGTAAGTCCTTAAAAAACAAAACAACAACAACGACCCAAACCTTCTGGAGTCAACCTGTGTACCCGTACCCTACTATGAGAATCCGGCCTGGTTGGCAGTGATGGCACACACCTTTAATCCCAGCACTCAGGAAGCAGAGGCAGGGATCTCTGAGTTTGATGCCAGCTTGGTCTATAGAGTGTGTTCTAGGATAGACAGGCTGTTACAAGAGAAACCTTGTCTCAAAATATCCAAGGGATGGGGGTGGGGGGGGCAGAGTGAGAATCTGCCCTTTCCATACAGTAAATCATGGATATCTGGTTTATTTAAAATATCACAGTGTAGGGACTGAAGTGTAGTTTAGTGTTGGAGCATATGTGAGATCCTGGGTTTGAGCCTCAGTACCAAACAAAGAAACAAACAAAACACTAAAGAAACTACTACGAATCTTAAACATTGCTGTTACTAGGAGCTGACCGATTCTATCACATACATGTGAGTGAATGTGTTCAATAAAGGATCCTTATAAATATTTTGATTTTGACCCAAGTAGGTTAAAGAAACAAAGTTTATTACAGGAATCGAAATAATACCAAGCAGCATATGGTAGCACTAATTAATATGGCTTTAAAGTTTGCCATGGGCCTCATCAACACAAACACCCTCCCCACATCAAAACCAGCTTTGACCACAAACCACCTTGCTTTCGGCCTCCACCCACTTGCTGGACCGGAGCGGACTGGAGCTCCAGTAAATGAGGGAGGTCATGGGCCACGTGATGTAATTGGAGGGGCTCAGGGAAGGAAGGGAGCAGCCTGAACCCACCTGGGCTGGGCAGACGACCGGCCTCTGTCAAGCCCCCACTGGGGGGATGGGAAGATGACTCCGTAGTTATCTGGTACTCCTGTAGAGGACCTGGAGTTGGGCTCCTGGCACCCACATCAGACAGCTCCCAGCACGTCACTTGTAATTCCAGCTCCAGGAAAATAAAAAGAGTCATTGCCAGCCACCAGCCCCTCAGAATGGTGCCCTTGGTTAGTTTTCTTCAGCAGAAAGTGTTCTGAGATGGTCCTGATGTGCTAAGAAAGTGGAATTCCCGAAGACCTAGAACACTCTAGAAGCCTGTTAGGTTACGAACCAGGAAGTGAGAAGACACACTTTCCAGCTTGGCTGGAAATGGTTTTGAAGAGAAGCAGGGAAGCAGTGTGATCTCCAAGCATCCTTCACTGTCTGTGAAGGATGTTCGGTCTGTATCCCGCATTGCCCTGGCCAGAGCCCCCTCCCATATGATCCTATTTCCCTGTAGTTCAAATTATTTATTACATTTTATTTTTGAGACAGTTTTGCAGTATAGTCTAGGCTGGGCTTGAACGCTTGATCTTCCTGCTTTAACCTACTCAGGCCCTTACCACCAGGTCACCATGCCACAGCTGGCCAGAGCTCTTTCTTCGTGATGTGGTCAGCTGTCCAGCTGTGACAGCTTCTCTTTCAGCTTAAAGGACAGAGCACACTTGAATTTACCTTTATTTTTTGATCCTGAGATTCTCTGTTTAGTCTCAGGGTGACTGCCCGTGTTTAGGGCAGAACGGGAGTCTCCACATGACAATCAAGACTGTTATCAGAGGGTCTAATGATAGCACCAAGAAAGTCACACCTAGGTCTAAGTGGCCTTTGTGATGGCCAGCCACATCTTCAGCGCAGCCTGTATGTGCCCCACAGTCGGGCACTCACTCCCCTTACACTTTTGTCCATGCTAGTCTTAAGCTGCATCCTCCCTCGAGCTAGGATTTCAGGTGGGCACCACCAAACCCCACTACTTCCGCTCTTAATTTCTCACATCAAGCCTTTCTGGAAAACCACTTGGCAAACTCCCGTGTCCTTCAAGAATTAGATGGAGGTCACCCCACAGACCCCCGTAGCAAAAGACCTGTACTGTAATTCCAGCTATTCCCGTGGCTGAGGCAGGAGAATTGACCAGTTGAAGGTCAGCCTGAGTAACTCCATAGACCAGTCTCGAAAACCAGAACGAATTAAGGTGGGGATGGGGGTGGGCACAGCGCGGTGGCAGAGCATTTGCCCAGCATACACAGAACCCTGAGCAAACGTCACACTGAGAAATGTCACCCTGTGCCTTGAATTTCATTGTTTCCATTCTTGAATTCGTGTTGGACGTTGCATTATTGAATTACTGCCTTGCTCCGACAGTGAACTTCTTGAGGGCAGGGGCCTCTTTCTGCACTTAGTTTGGTGCCAGAGTCAACAGCCACTCCACAAAGGATTGTTGAGCTGAGAGGTAGGACAGTTTGTACTTCACGTTCACAGATACACTGCCTTGTGCTGAGGCCCTTTTCATGTGAATGGGAATGACCAAGCTTTGATATGACTCATTAGTTAATAAGCATACCAGAATTTATATATCCAAATGAGGACTGCTTCCTTCAAAGTCTTCACTTTGTAAGGCTGGATGCTACTTAGTCCCGTGATGCCAGCATTTCCGCAGACTCTTTAGATCACCTCTCTTGGGTACACTCCATCCAACATTTCTCCTGCTACTCACCCTTCATTTAGCAGACACTTCTCGTCTTCTGTTGTTAGTACTGGGCAAAAGATAAGATAAATCCGGCCATTTACTGCCTTCAAGAGTTTGTTTGGCCAAGGAGAGCAGACTGGGAGAACCACAGCACTGAAAACTAAGTGATAATGCTCCAGAGATAGCTTGATTCTTGGAAATAAGCAAGTCTTTTCTTTGGTTTTAAGTTTCCCGAAGCAACAAGGTGGGTGCTGGAGCTATGTAGTAACTGTAATTGGTTTAAGCCAAATTGGTTACGCTGCCCGAGCCCACGTGTTTCTCCTAAGTTGATCTGGCACGTTTCTACAACACCCAGACTTGGCGACACAGTCCTGTATCTAGGGTCCCCAGCCAAGTTCCAGATCTCTGTGAACCCCTGCCGGGACCCTATATCCTTATTATTCTCTGTAGCATCCGGTGGACTAATTCACAGGATAAAAAGTCACAAGAGTTACAACCGAGCCCATGATGGGTCTCCCTTTTCTTTCCTGCTTTCTAAGGTGACAGTTCTGCAGATCCCAAGGGACACTGAGAGAACTGAAAGGGCCAATACTGGGGAGGGCTGGAGAGGGAAAGCGGTGGCGGATCTGGGAGCAGCGCCGGGAGTTCCTGCTTCCTGCTCCCGGAGCGAGAGTCCTCGGTAGCAGCCTGGGGGAAGGAACAGCCCTTCCTGCTCGCGTCCGCGTCCTTCCAGGAGCGCAGCGAGGCGCGCCCCACCCCGGCGGAGGGGACGGTTTTCAGCTGGAAGTGGTGGAGAGTGGAAGACAGCTAGGACTCAACGCCACCCGGGAGTGTGTGGAGCTGGATGAGAGCGGGAAATTGGCAGACCAGAGTCTAGGCGGGTGGACGCGACGGGAGGCGCCGAAGGATCCGCGTGGGGTCCCGGGGTGTCTCGGCCGTGCCCGGTCCCGTGGCCGCCCGCAGTCCCCCGGGCTCCGCCCCGCCGCGCTGCCCGGCCCCTCTTCGGCCAGGTCTCCTCCCCGATGTGCGGGTGGCAGCGCCACTCCCTCCGCTCCCTTCCCAGCCGCGCGCGTCTCATTCCAGCGCCCATTCCGTGCATTCCTGCCGGGCTCCTCTGCAAACTCCAGCCCCGGAGGTGGGGACCGCCGCAGCTCCGCGCTCCGGCCCCTGCAGCCGTCGCTGCTGCTGGAAGACTTGGCGCCCCGTGCGGACCTGCTGCAACCAGCCGAGCGCTCCTACCCTGCCTCCCGCACCCTGGGACCGGTAAGACTGCCAGCTTCGGACGATTTCGGCGTCCCCGAGTGGTCCCGGGAAGCACTAGAGGACCAGCGGGGCACGTGCGGGCGGCAGAGCCCAGGGGCTGGGCAGAGCAGGGTAGCCTGGCTGAAGTATCAGAATATCAGAAACAGAACCCTTTTCTACTTTTTGGCCTGGAGAAGCAAGCCCCGGAGGGAAGTGTGTTGCTTGGACCTTTTGCAGAGGTCCCCCAGGGTTTGAGACACTGTCTCCCCATGCTGAGGATTGATGAACGTGAGCTCCCCAAAATCCAAGGCACTGTACCCTAGCAGGCAGCCCAGGGGGGCGCCGCGGTGCACATGTCAGGGGGCTCCAGGCACACCCACACTCTGATTCTGTGAGTGAGTTCAAGCGAGATCTCTCTGTGCCAGCATCCCTAAATTTTGGGTGTACCCGAGGGAGGGAGATCTGTACGCTATGACTCACTTTGTTTCCAGTAGGTGTATTTGTGCTGAACGTGACAGTGTGTACATTGTACTATAGTCCACCTTGAAGAGGGTGCTGTCTGAAATCCTGAGTGTCCGAGTGGGTATGTGATGATGCCTCCTCTCCAAGACTGTCCTCACTCTGAGGATGTTCTGGCTCTGGATTTCTTCCTGCAGAACCGGCGCAGGAGACAGCGTCTCCAAGTTCTTTGTGTGCAGGGAGAAATTGACAGTAGTCGTTGGAGGTTTCTGCCCACCCCCACTCCCCACTCCATCCTGGCTGGGTTGGGCAGAACTGGCAGGAAGCTGCCTACACCTGCCCCCCTTCCAGGCAGCTGTCTTTCTGAGGGAGAGTGGATCCTGTTCTGCCGGAACAGTTTAGAGAGCTGCTGGAAGGCGAGCGAAGCTGACCGATCTTTGCCTTTAGGGGATAGGGTGGGTTTTGGGGAAAGGGAGAGACCTTTTTAGATTGTTTTCTTTTGGGACAGAAGCCTAGTCTAGCATGGCCTGGTACTTCTACCCTAGTTGCTACCCTAGCATAAACTGACTTTCTTTTTTTTTTTTTTTTTTTTTTTTTTAAATATTTATTTATTATGTATACAATATTCTGTTTGTGTGTATGTCTGCAGGCCAGAAGAGGGCACCAGACCTCATTACAGATGGTTGTGAGCCACCATGTGGTTGCCGGGAATTGAACTCAGGACCTTTGGAAGGGGAGGCAATGCTCTTAACCACTGAGCCATCTCTCCAGCCCCCATAAACTGACTTTCATCCTTCAGCCTCAAAACAAACAAACAACCCCCTCAAAAAACCCAAGGGGGGGGGCAACAACAAAAAAAAACTTTTTTTTTGAGACAGACTTAAAAGACCAATCTGGCCTTGAGCTGGGATTACAGGCCTGAGTCACCAGGCTTAGTTGACCGCGTTGGGCACTGGGATGTTGGTAGTGTTTCTAAGTTGGCCTCAAGGACAAAAGAGTGTCCATGTTTACCGCCCGAACTACATATCAGGGTTCGCTTCTCCTTGGGGTCTCGAAGGGAAAATCTCTTATTCATTAATAGACTATTAGGCTTGCTTATTCCTTAATAATCAGTGCCTTGGTCTGTAACCATGCTGGATTCAAACTGCCTCAGTTTCCAGAGTTGGATTGCTCCCTCTTTCTTCACAGCTTGCTAGACTACCTTGTTCCTGTGGGGCTGCGGGAATGCTTTGGTGACAGTTCGGAAGGTGAGGGCTGCCTGGGGTTTGCTGGCTGCCTCCAGGATATTGACAGGAGCATGGTGTGAGTGTCACAGACTTGGCACCAGAGGTCTCCCTCATTAACACAACAGAGAGATGGCAGCTAGGGTTTCTTGGAAGGAAGGAACAGAAGTCTGTGTCAGGAGTGGGGGCTCTTGTATTTATCCTTCCTTCTATCACGCTAATGTAGATTAGATCGTCTGCTGGGAAATACCTCATACTCCTAACAGCTCAGGCCATGTGTACTGCTGATTTACAAAAGCAGCTCTTGTCAGGTAAAAAATGGACAGGCTTGGGGTTAGACAGACCAGGCATGTATCCTGAGGCTCACTATGTATAATAAGGCTTTTGGGCTCAGTTTCCTGATGAGTAACATGTGGGGGGGAGTGAGGAGGGAATGGGGGGTGAGGAGGGGTGGCAGGATGAGGGGGAGTGGAGGTGCGGAGAGGTGGCGGGGTGGTGGTACATCCCAAACACCTGGTAGTACATCCCAAGGCCCTCGGAAATGGAGTATTTTTTCCCCCAGCTTGCTTTGGCAAGAACCCCTCTTCCCTTTGCCATGTTGAGGGATGGATCCAGGGTCCGATAACACATGAAGCTAGAGGATTTTGAGCAACCGTTTCTCTGAGCCCCCCTTGGGAAACCTCATCACTGTTCACCGTGTTTGTTTTGCCAACATGAACTGAGTGTTTGCTGTGGGTCCCGTGCCATGGAGAGGCCATCCTTTGCCAGCGGGTAGCATCATTCTCCAGCTAAAGGTCTGAGTATTGTTCTGCCAGGTGTGCTGTGTGTGTGTGTAGTATGTGTGCTTGTATTGTGTCTGTATATATGTATGCGTGTGTATGTGTGTATGTATGTATGTGTATGTATATGTATGTATGCATGTGTGTATTGTGTATATGTGTATGTATTGTGCATGCATGTATGTATTGTGTATGTGTATATGTATGCGTGTGCATGTATGTATGTGTATGTATGTGTGCATGTACGTGTGTATGCATGTATTGTGTATGTATATATGTATGTGTGTACGTATGCATGTATGGGTATGTATGTGTGTATGTGTGTGTACGTATGTGTGTATGTGTGTGGAGTATTATGTGTGTGTATGTATGTATGTATGTGTGTGTGTATGTATATATCCATCCGTCTATCCATCTGTCTGATTATCTATGCATCCATCCACTCTGTCATTTGAGTTTTGGTCCTAAGGATGGACCCAGGGCCTGGGCTTTGCTAAGCACACTGTTCTGCCACTAAGCTTCTACCCCCACTCTATCTTTCCAGATCCAAGGATGCAAATGTCACAGCCTCCTTTGGCCTGTATTCTGCAGTCTTGTGCCTGTGACTGTCACAAAGCAATAACTATTGCCAAACTTGTGTCTCCTCTTTCTCAGGGGAAGTAGAAGGCATTGCCCCTGACTTCTTGTAGTTGAGGCTGGTCTGGTGGAAGTTGGGAATTCGGGGCTCCTGAGAGCGGCTTTCCCTCTTTGCCTCCTTGACCCTTGGTTGGCAGAAGTGGGAACAAGGGCTTTGTTTAAAGCTCTGAAATTGGAGCTGAACAGCTGCTTCCCAGAACCCTGAGGGCGGGGGTGTCGCCAGGACCAGGGGCCCAGGTGGAGGCTGGGGTAGGGCAGGCTGCCTCACTGGGGGTTGGGAGCCCACATCTCCAGTGTTGCTTTGACCTCTTGTGGAATGGTAGCTTTCTCCGTGTCATTTTTTTAAAGCTGTGTTTTGGGGAGAGTCTAGTCACACCTGTGTGGTTGTTCCTGGAGCCCTCAGCTGGTGGGACAGGATCTGTGGGAAATTTCCCGCCAGAACTTCCGGCCAAGATCTGTGCCCATCTGTTTGCTTGCAACGCAGGCCAGCTTCCAGAAAGGTTGGAAGATGGGCCTGTTGCTCCGTGGTTTGGGCCAGCTTCTAGGCTAGGGTGGGCAGGCAGGCCCCCATGGGTGGGGTCCCAGCTTCCTTTGACCCAAACTCAATGGGAACAATAGACCTCAGAGGAGTCACCAGGGGCAGGAAATGGGAGCTGTGCTAAGGCCAGGGTGACCCTCCTGGGGGATGGGATTGCATATCCGGTTGAGTGTTAGGGCCAGTGCAGAGGGCACTGGGGAGGGGCTGATGACACATAGTAGGGTGGGCCCTGGGGTGGGGCTCTCTGCCTAAGGGGGCTGTTGACTCAGAGCGAAACCTGAGCAGAAGGACCCATTATCTGGCTGAGTGCTCTGTTCTGTGTCCCACTAGCAAAGATCTCGTGTCTGGCAGCCTTCTGCCAGGTTCCTGCCAGGCTCACGGGGCCAGAATCGTGCCTACCCCTTCCCCTAGAGCCCCCAGGATGGCTTCGTGAGTTGCCTTGGCCAGGATGAAAGACTAGTGTTGTTTCTTCCTGGCTGCCGTCCAACCTGGCTGCCCTCCGCCTTGGCACTGAACCCCAAGTAATAGTTGATGGGAGGGTGACAGTGGGCAGAGCTTTGGGTAAAGAGAGAGGAGCCTTGGGTCACTTAGACAACCGTGCAGAGATTTCTTCAGTCACAGAGCAAGACAGGCAGGGGGAGATTCCTGCCTGAGGCAGGTGGCGGAATGTTCTGGGAGGCTGGACATTTATCTTGCCATCATCTATGGAAGGGTGGGACTGAGTCTGGCTGTGAAGCCAAGGGGCCCCGTGGCTTTAGAAGGGAGAGTCAGTCAGCCCATGGAATTTTTTTCTTTGTGTGAAGTCAGGTTGCCAGATCCTCACAGGTCATGGTTTGGGGTTGAGAGCAGCCTCAGGAGTGGCCCTAGGACCACTGCCAGGACCCATCCAAGAGGGGTGTGGTGGAGAGAACATATGCTAGCCTGGTTATTTCTCCAAGGAACAAGACAAGGGTTCTGGAAATGGCAGAGTGCCGGGTTCCTTGTTCATCCCTTGCCCAGTTCTAGATCAAGGTCTATTCTATTTATTAATTAGTTGATTTGTTTTGCTTGCTATACTGAAACTAGATCCCGGGACCTCATGCGTGCCAGGCAAGTGCGTCAGAGTTTTACACAAAATCTCTGTGGAGAAATGGAGTTTGAGGTGACTAGCTTGGATGCACCCTGTGTAATCTTTGGATGAAGAAATATTCATTTTCTTTCCTTTTTTGTTTGTGATGCTGGGTCTAGAACTCAGGGCCTTGTGCATGTTGGGGCAAGCACTGAACAACACTCCAACTCTTTAGGAAGGGTTTTCAGCTTTGTGGATTTCCTGGGAGCAGGGGAAGTGGCTGGTGTGGGGTGTGTCTGGGTGAAGGACTGTCCTGGGAGCTTTGTACAGCGCTCACC